TAGTTTTATACCCATGAAGTTATATGTATGGTTATTATTATTATTATCATTCTTATTATTTTTATTGTTATTATCATTGTTATATGTATGATTGTTATTATGATTGTAGTTCTAGCAGGATATTGTATCATTTTCATTTTGCATGAAATAGTCTGAGCAAAAAATAAAGTTTTATTAAATGCATAGTGCCTGTCTGCTGTGGAGTCACATGGTCCTATACAGCGCAAGGTAGTAGGGTTACACTAGTGGCAGTGGAGGGGTGGAATGTGCTGGGTTTTCTTGTGGAAATCCCTTGTTTTCGCACCGATGATAATGTTAACCAAGCAGTGGTAATAGCTTCATTGGGTCAATCATAAACTGCAACAAACAGAATAACATAACAACAAACAACTGAATTAAAAGAACCGGCAGTAGTGCATGAGATCAAGCCGTATGAAAGGGGTGTTAAAGAGGAGATTGCCAGCGGGCATACAGCCCACCAGCCACTCCAAGAGGGCATGCTAGAATGAACGGGTAGAAGAGATAAGCTATCGTATCGTCTCGTATCGTATGAATGATATAGGAGAGACTAGCCGTGGGGAGTGAGGTTCACTTCTTCGTGTGTGTCCGCTCTCCGCTGGTGGCCTACCCGCCTCGCCGTTCCCAGTCACCGTCGACCCCGGTAAGTACCCTATCCTCTTTCCATTTCAGGTCGAGGCCAAGACGAATCTTGGCGAATCAATCTCTAGTGATTTGGTTTTCCTTTGTAGTATAAGTGTTTGTTGTTTCCCAATAAACTGTTGTGTTACGAATCCTTTCGAAATCACAGGCAAGCTTCGTTAGGAGTCACACACTTTAACTTGGGGGCCGAACCGACTACGAAACTGTATACTTCTGTGGTCAAGGATCAGTGAAAAGCAAGACTAAGCCTTTGCTAAAGCGGACTCGCACCTCAAAGAAAGAAAGGGTGTCGAAGCAAGAAAGAGTGGAAGCAGGAACACTCTAAAAAGGAGCCTAAAGAGAAAAGAGCCTACAGGAATACGCCATAAAGAAAGGAAATGGTAATTTTAAGAGAAGTTCCTCCACGCAAAATGAGCGATTCAAATAACGAAGACGTTATAATGGAGGAAGAATACAATACCACCGATGAGCTATCTACACAGGAGGTAAGCAATCTAGTACTGAGAAAAACGGAGTACGCAGCCGAAGCGACGACGAGTGCATACTTTTGAAAGGCCAAGGAATAGCAAGAAGGTGACTGTGTCGTCGAGCTCCTGTCGTAGTCAGGCGATTGCCAAACCTCATGATAGGATGGCAGCACAAAGCACTAGTTTAAAAAGGTCGTACAGGAAAGACATGTATGACAGAATAGATGAAATTGATGTAAGCAAGCATCCAAGGGTAGGGAACCGGCTGTATGTTCCGACACCAGAGAAGGAAATCGAAGGGTAGCGGTTGTTTGGAGAGGACCACCCAAAGCAAGTGCGGCAAAGAGCAGCTCCGTTTCATCGAAAATAGGGCAAGACATTAAGGGGATTCGTAGGCAGCCAGGGATGTTGAGGCTTGTATCAGAAGGAATTCCCGACCAGCAGGTCCATACAGTACATAGTAGAGGTGTTGAAAGTAGGAAATCGAAAGTAAGAATTTGTCAAGTTCCTACTCATAAACAAGAGTGCCGGCAGCACTGTGATTGCTGTGTAACCCGTAGAAAAGCGAACGGGTTCCAAATTGGGCTACCTGAGCTCGAACAGTCGCCGAGGTCGACGACTCCGCGACGGGGAGGCATGTTAAAGAGGAGATTGCCAGCGGGCATACAGCCCACCAGCCACTCCAAGAGGGCATGCTAGAATGAACGGGTAGAAGAGATAAGCTATCGTATCGTCTCGTATCGTATGAATGATATAGGAGAGACTAGCCGTGGGGAGTGAGTTCACTTCTTCGTGTGTGTCCGCTCTCCGCTGGTGGCCTACCCGCCTCGCCGCTCCCAGTCACCGTCTCGATACACACGTCGACCCCGGTAAGTACCCTATCCTCTTTGCATTTCTAGGTCGAGGCCAAGACGAATCTTGGCGAATCAATCTCTAGTGATTTGGTTTTCCTTTGTGGTATAAGTGTTTGTTGTTTCCCAATAAAAACTGTGTGTTTACAAATTTTTCCTTTTTTCGATCACAGAAGTACCGATTCGTAGGCAGTCACACACCTTTAACTTAGGGTAGAAATGCTGTACAACCTGATGAAAGCTAGAGCCGTGATAGAAGGGTTGGCTTCGACGCGGCGTCGGTCTGTTTCTCACCAGCTGCTACATGCCCTCTTCAACAAATAGTGAAGAACGGACTGACGCCTAGTCAAACCCAACCCCTCTATCACTGATTGGCGAAAAAGTGGAGTTCCGTGGATACAAAACAAAATGCAGGCAGGAATGCAGTCGAGCGAAGGTCCTCTGTGTCCTATCGCGATGGAGGAGCCTGATTCGGAGGTGGTCGAGAGAGTGTTGAGGAGGGAGAGGGAGAGGGCAGGACGGAGAAGAGCTGAAAATAATGGAAGGTAAGAACGTGCTAAGTGAAAATTCGAAGATTATATGTTGATGTACTTAAATTTTGCGCTTAACTCGGTAAGGAGCTGTCCCCGTCGAGACCAAAGGATGTCAAGTGGTGCTCCTGTGGATCATGTGTGTCCCTAAGCACTGTGCGAGAAAACTTTTGCTGTAGAGAAGCCTTAGAGGAGGAAAGTGTACGGTGTGAACCTTTGATAGGGTTACGAGCCAAAGTGAAGGAATCTGGTCAGTGCATTGTTCAGCACCCCTCATTTTACAAGGTCGCCCTGGACTGCGAGGTAATCTTCCTCTTATTCTTGCTATAAAAAGGATATTTGCACATGACATAGGTGCTTCGAGTCCTGTTGGTCAATCTGAGAGTGGAAAGGAAGAGGAAGACACCGGTCGACAATGAGAACAGGCGAACGGTTTCATATTTGCAGCCACTATTGAGGTTATAAATGTGCATATTCAGGTGCTTGAGATACTGCGCGTACCGCGCTTTCGTTGCCTGGTGTTACGGGCACTTGGGTTTTCGGAAGAGATTCGAACTACCTGCTTGCGTAAGAGCTGCTATAATGGATGCTTTCCCCTCAGAGAATGGGGCGTACGTGGGTTTCAAGGTAGAGTTCACTATTTCCTCTATTAGTAAAGGATATGGCGATTCAATTATGTTGCAGGACAACGCCAGAGAATCCGAAAGTGAAGAATGGGACGATTCTTGTGTATAGGGCCATTTCTGAATGAAATTTATAAAACACGTTTCTTACCGAATCACAACTCGCAGTCGTATTCTTCTTCCGCATCCACAAGCTCCTCGACCCAAAGAGGAGAGTCACGATGTTTCTTAGCCTTCAAGCGCTACAAGCCTTCCCTTGAGGACTTCTTTCAACACTAAATCTCTCCAGAGATGTTTGGGTTGGGACTTCACAACCAGAACTGAGTACCTGTTAAGGCTACTTCCGCTTGATCCTGCGTCTCCTAACCAACTATTTCTCCGCTCATCTCGGCTAGCCTCAACGTATTTATATGCATTGTGGCCATCATTGTATAGAGCGGATACGTGGAAATGGATAGAATATCTCCTTGCGGCAGTATATCCTATCCAACGCGTTTTTAGCCTCACATATGGAGGTCCCTCCATATGGGCTGGCCTTCGGCAGATCTCTCTGGAAAGATTCAGTGAGGATCACCTCGCGGAACCTCTTATACGCAAGACTATCCGCGCTCATGTCTTCGGGTCGAGGATCCATGGGTGCATGTGAACAGCCAACCCAGGGGCCTGTCAGCTCGTTCTGCAATTTATTCAACTACGATATGATGTTGCACAAATTACAGAAATTACAGACCTGCGGCCAATGATGCACACCGCGAACGTGCATCAAACACGTGTTGAACATGGCTTTGACATCGGCCCCTGTCTCTGCTGCATACTCGATGGCTTTCCACAGATGAGTTTTCACCTTCTCCGTCCAGACGTCAATCATGCCGCAGCCGGTCTTCTTACTTGCCTACAAATCAACGCATTACCTATGTCACTTCGCTGGTGTTCCACTTGTCTTCCTACCTTCCTGAGCTCATTGCCCAGCCATTTGACTAGGTGCCATCCATCGTAATAATGACGGATGGGACCGAGCTCAGGCTCCAAAGCCCTAGAAGAGCCCCTAGGGCACGACTGCGATCAGTCGTCAGTGACGACACTTGAAGACCGCATCCAACTACCCATCGCATGAGACGCCTGATGCCCTCGATCTCCATCCGCGTACTAATGTTCTCTGGAATGGCTCGCATCGTAGATGTTCTAGTGTGGAGTCACTGTCGCCTTACCCGTCTCCGATCGATGGAGTACACCAGTATGGAGCACCAGTTTAGTACGCAGATCCGAAAAGATTCGGTTGCACATGGTCATCAGGAGCAATGTCGTCGCCGGTTTTACTAAACAATTTAGTGTAATACATTAACTGTTGTGACATTGCAAAGAGCAACTAGTACTGTTGTGAAATAGTTCACCTTGGTAAGGATAGGCAGACGACGAAAGAACACATTTGCATTAATAAACAATTTGCACGTGGACATTATTCGCAGCTTATCGATAAAATACACGCTCAAAGCAAAACGTACGTGCAGTGCCCACCACCTACCCAGTTTATCCATCACGCGGCATTCAGACTTCACGACGGCAGCGCCTCGGTCGCGCATTCGGCGCGATCGATGCGCATGCTTTCTAACTGCATCGATCGCGTCGAACGCGCGACCGAAGCACTGCCGTCGTGAAGTCTGAAC